GCTCTGCTGTGTCAGGCTTTCCTGCCTAAGCCCCGGCCCCTGCCCGGGTGCATCCAAAACAAGCACAAAACCATCAGGTGCCTCTTCCTTTGGAAACGTTGCAAGGAGGAAGCGGGGTTTGAAAGGCAGGGGTCAGGGAGGAGCGGTGGAGACAAGGATTTCCCCCAGCACTGTGACCCTCTGTGCCAGCAGCATCCCTCCTCAGCCTGCTGGGTTTCAAGCCAGCCATAACTCTGCAATTTGTAGTTGCACATGGCATGGCATCAGCCCAGGATGGATGGGTAGGACAGCCCATGGCTCTCCCAATGTCCCACGATCCCCTCCCTGACCATCTGTGCTGCCTCACGGGCTGTCTCCATCCCGCCCTGCCATGCGGAGAACGTCCGTCCATCCCACCAAGGAGCAGACTGACCTAACAACATACGCAAGCAGGGAGCAGGGTGAGGCAACAAAACCCATTTTCCTCCCTGACCGAAGCTTGCCTCCAGGCTCTAAAAGCCAAGCAATGCTCTGGTTTTCCTTACAAAGCCCCTTTGAGAAGAGCCTGGATGAATTCCAGCTTGGCTGTATGTCCCAAAGCTGTTTGGTTCCCTTCCCCCCTGGCTCTCCCTCCTTGCACGAACATTGCTCCAACTCATGAAACAGCAGATTTTATTCCCATCTGAGCACAGGGGCTGAGACATCCCCAGTCCCCACCTCCTTGGGAGCTATGTGGTCCTTCCAGGTAGAAGTATCACACTCGGAAATCATGGGCTCCCAGCATTTGTAGGAGAAGTGATGCTCAGCTCTGCAAATAAACTCCTAAAGTGACATTTAGAAAAGCTCTTCATCCAGAAGCATCTCAAAAGTGCTCTATAAACTTCACTAATAGGCTGTGCAAACTGTAACTCCCATTCTCTGTAGGGTCTGTGCAGAGGTATCAGCTCAGATGGCTGCTAGGGAAGGTGAAGGCTGCAGGCTGGCACCCCAGAAAGGCTCAGCTAGAGCAGAGAAACTCTTGGGTACCTGATGAATGTGGCTCGGGGAGCAAACCCTGAAAGAGCTTGAGCAAAAGACACCAAACTGGGTTAATCCAGCTCCATCCTGGGACAACCTCAGCAAGGCTCCCCTGACAATAACATAGACAGATTTCCTTTGTCAACAGAAGTAAAAACCCAAGTATAAAGATTTGTGTGTCTATCATATTCCAGCCTCCTTGTACAGAGAAATATAGTAACTGTGTGACTGAAACACGGCCAAAATGTAGAGAGAGGGGCAATTACTGCATCAGCCAAAACATGTTTCCAAAGAGCAATCCAGAAAACCCTCCTGAGATGCTCCCTTACTGCATCCAGCACTATGGATGGCACAGGACTGGGAGCACTGGGTTGCAGGATGCTTGCTCAGTGCTGTTCAAGCTCATCCTCCATTAGCCCCACTGGTCCCCGTTTGCCTGCCTTGCCGACACCCACTGCACGCAGCTGCCACCCCAGATTTGCTGGGGAATTGGGTGTTCACCACAAATGTGCCTCAGCACTCAATAACCATGGCGTGAGCTGGAAAGCGCCTGATGGACTCAAAACCAAGAAGCAAAGACCAGTTCTATCTTTTTGGATGAGTCTTACCGGTGTCAGAGGAGGGGACGGCCTTGGTGAGGATGCTGTCGGTGACGGTGCCCAGTGTGCTGAAGGCAAACACCAGTGGCACTGCAACAATGCAGTAGTGCCATACGGTCCTCATCAGGGCCTAAGGGACAGGACAAAACAGACCACGGATCATTAGAAAGCACAAGTGGTGATTCTGTGGCAAGAAACAACCTAGAAAAACATCATGAGCCTAACTCATGACTTAGGTAAATTGTGGGAGCCAGAACTGATGCATGATGGTGCAGCTTTGGCTGTTGCAGGGTCTTTCATAGCCCACCATTTGTCTGCAGCAAATTATTCCAAGCATGCTGCACAAGTAGCAAACGACACCCTACAATCTGGCAGCACGTTTCCCCGGCACTGCTGCGGGTATTTTTAGTGTCTGGGAATTAATGACGTCCCTGCACCCTTCCCCCCCTTGTCTGTCTCTTGTCCAGCTCCTAAGGAAACGTTGCACAGCAGATGCATGTGGTGTACTTCAGGAAGCCTCCATTACTTATACAAAACAGCCTAGAGAAGGCTTTTCAGTTCATTATCATAAATAATTAAAACTAAACTGAGCTTGTCAAAATAAATGAGTGTGGTGCATTATGTAACACCTTGCCTTTGGGATTTCTAATCCCGTTCTGCTGCTTCCTTGCTAATAAATTCACCGAATTCAGTAATCTGGAATAGGTCTTCTGGCCATAAGTGCACATTAGTGAGCATAATTAGGGAGAGTAATGATTTTGTTATTGCACATATTCTTAGTGGAGACATCCCTCCAGCTGTTTAATTCTGAAACAAAAGCAGTGAAGCTCCCTAAGCTGTGGGGCTGGAGCGGCTCTCGGCTCATCCACAAGCCATGCTGGTCAAATGAATGGATTTCTCTGGGGCATGGAAAGGAAATTCCCCCTTTCTTGCAAGTCTCCTGCCCTCACCTGCATCTCAAAGTGTGTTATTGTGGCTGGAAAACATCTCTGTCGCTGGTTTAGCCAGAAGTTTCATTCTCTGGAGTTCTCTCTCCTAAGATCTGGTCCCTGCCTCTTGGCTACAGAAGATGGAGAAGCCCAGAGACATTGCTCACTAATGACTTGGAAATATTGAGGTTTATTCCTAGTTCCCCTCCGGACTCACACACAGCCAGGTTTCTCTGCTCGGAGGGGCTCTTTGCCTAAATTTTGGTTAAGATCTAGGCAATTCTGATTAAGGAACCAGAGAACAAAGACAGAGGAACAGGTATTTGGTACATAAACATTCAGACAGAGGGAGAATAATTCCTTGCCAGGGCAAATGTCATTGCAGGACAACATTGCAGAGCTCTTAGGAGAAAACAGCTTCAACTCTCTCCTGCCTTGTATGAATTTTCTCATGGGCTGAAGCAAGTGGGCAGAAAAGAGCTGAGCCATGTCTGTGCCTCCTGTGAAACCAGGGGAAATGGCTTTTTACTCCCCTGGGACTCAGAAAGGACGGAGCCAGGCAGAGCCTGGTCTCTACTGCTCCTCAGCTGCTGGGTAGGTAGCAGACTTTTTGACCTGAGCAGATCTGAAGGCATTTTTTCAGGTGAGAGAAGCAAAACCAGGCATATTTCAGAAGACAGGCTCAAAAAGCAAACGCCTGGGAAACGCAGGCAGCAAGGCAGGACGAGGCACGGCCGTGCCTTCAGACAAAGAGAAAAACTTCCCCGTCGCAACCGCCAAGCCCTCCTCCACCCTGCCCACGCGCTGCCGGCTTGCATCTGCAGATCAGACACCGGCTCTCCCCTCCTCTCCTTTTCCAGGTGTTATTGCCGAGCTCCCAGCCCACCCCTTCCCTCCTCCAGCTGCTGATGGCTGGGAACATCCTGCAGCCTCTTCCCAGCTGCACCTCTGTCTGTCTGTCTGTCTGCTGGTGCCCACCTTCCAAAAACACTTCAGCCCACCTGCTAGCAAGATGAAGATGGGTTGCAGAGTGTCTTTTATTAACAGTTAGCTTTTCTCCTCGCTTCCACCCTTTGGGGAGGGGATGTGCTTTGGGTGGAGGCCAGATGCAGCAAGGGCACAGCGGGTGGGATGCTCCTCCACTGGCAGCTGTGCAGGATTAAAAGCTTCATGCATTAATCTCTGCATTTGGGGCCTGCTGCTGTGACAGCACTCTTCCCCACCAAGACGGAAAGCCACCCCAGAAACGGATGTTTTCTCAGCAACCACTCAAACAGAGCGCTTTTTAATAAGGCATCCCCGGTGAAGAGGATCACAGCTGCCTTTGCCTATGAATAGTTCTCGTGGGAAGTCATCGCTGACCTTTGTCCCCAGGCCCATGCTGTCAGGATGTCCACAGCCCTCCGGCCTTGGTGTAATTGCCAACTCTAAAATGATTTCCCTTCCCAGTTCCCCTCCCCGCGCAGCCGCTTTGAGCCTCCCTATGCTGGGGCATTAGCTACTGCAAGCCATGCCGCTCCGCGTGTCCCTTCACTGCCATCAAGGCTTTCTCTCCTACCTCCAGCCTTCCCTTTCAGTAAGACCTCAGTGCAGAAAAGCCATTGACTCCATGTTGCCCGTCTACCTGATTCCCACGGGACTGGGCTTCAGCACAGTGAGCCAGTCCCAGCAGCATCCTGCCCTGTACCTCGCTGGAGGTGCTCCAGATGGGCTAGATCCATCTTGGTCCTATATAATTGCTCCCACCTGTGACCAAAAAACAATGGTGAGACCATCAAAGCCTTTCCCAGGCCATGCTCAGGGGCACTAAACCCTGTGCAGATGTTCCATGGTAAGGTGGGACTGGGCATCCCATCAATGCCAGTCAAAAACATGTGGCACCAGTTGGGAGGGACCCTTCCCGAGCATCCCACCAGCTGGCAGCATCTCTGCAAACCCTGAAATCCCAGTGGGGGACTGTGCTCCATCTGCAGAACCAACGCTTTGTCTGCATCCATCCTCCCTTCCCAGCCTCATCTCAGACACACAGTTTAGCCTCAGATCAGCAAAGGTGCGTAGGTGCCTCATCTCATCTGTGTAGCCGGGAACCACGAGCCTCAATACCCTCCAGGACTTGGCCCTGACCTCCCTGTGGCTGTGGCATGGTTGTGGGAACAGCACCCATCCTACCCACGCTGGCGGGAGCACCGGTGCCCCAGCAGCAAGGCTCGAGGCCAAATCCTGCAGGGAATGTCGAAAGGCTGACACAGCTCAACAGTCCTTTGGGCCCATCTCACTGATGGGGACGGGTGTGCACCCTCCTCCATCCTCATTGCCTGGGCAGAGCGATCGGTTCCCCAAGAGTGGCTTATCTGAGCAAACACGTCAGAGCTGCCTACGTCAACCCAGTTTTCCAGACTGGCATCTGGAGACTGGCATCGACATGCAGACACAACTGGCAACAGGTAACATCATTCATCCCAAAATAGAGGCACAAAATTAGTGCCTTGCTACTCTCTTCCCCAATCTTGGGGAAATTAGGCAATATTAAACCCCCAGAAGAAGAACACACAACCTCTGCTGTCTCGCAGCAGCGTACAACCACAACGGTTTTCCCCCCATAATCTTCATTTACTTTCTGGGTAGTTCAGGAAATGCCGTTGCTGACAAGACTGAGGGCAGGATTTCTATGCAAATCCAGTGACTCAGGAGGGACTTAACGACCTTTTGTGTGAGATTTTTTTTTTTAATCCCTGTAACTATTAATCACACGCTTCTTTATCGTCATTTGGTGCGACACTTAAGCTGAGAAGGGCTCTGTTTGCACAGAGCTGGTTCCCCGCCGAGGACCACCCAAATGCCTGGTGGTGGCACATCAAGGGGCAGAGCTTGCAGCCAGGTCTCGTGTGCTGCGTTATTAAAAGGCACCGTGGATGATTTCACATCAAGCCTTACCATGCCGAGGCCCACGCCAGCGAAGACAAAGACGCTGAGCCTGAGCAGGGTCCCCTCCGTCCAGTGGTTAGTGAGTTTTCCAACAACCAGACCCTGGACAACCTGGGCAAGAAGCAGATGAGCACTGTTAAGCCTGATATATAACAATTTAAACAAGCTCAAAAGAGAACTGCTACAGTGATACAAGCAAATCAAAGGCAGCAAACGTGTTAGTCCCTTGCTTTTTTTGGAGAAAAAGGGACCTTGCTGTCACAGGAAATGGCTGGAAGACACAATCCATTATTCTGAGCATTTTGCATCCTTGGGGTAGATCCATCCCATCAGCTGAAAGCTGATGGATCTACTTAGGGTGCACGCCTGAGTTTACCACCACTGAGTACTCACCAGCTGTGACTGAAACTTTCTAAAGACACTTGCAAATACAAATGCATTTTTCTAACTAACTCGTGATGTTTCTGTGAAATACAATTAATACCAAGGTCTTCATTCTTGGCAAGTCCTTCCAAAGAAAAACCATACATTTGTATGCAGAAGAGGAAAATGCCTCCTTTCCCGTACCTTTTCTTGCCATTATTTTAAACTATAAATATACAAATTGGGTAGTTAATTGTTTTAGACAGGAAACAAGTACAACAAAGATGCTAATACCCAGCCCCAGCCATACACGCAGACGTGAGGGATGGGGAACTGGTTTTACAGATTTTAAATAAAAATTGGGAGAGAGGGAGAGGGAAGGAGGAGGGGGGAAAATAAAACCCAGGAAGTATTTGCTTTTTTCAGCATTTTACAAAGCAAAGATTCTCCCTTTTATTTCTCTGCTCGGCATCTCCCATACTTCAAACGATACTGGGCCAAACAGACACAAGAGGACAGAGGCTGGAAGACATCACTTTGAAAACAAACTCCAATCGACTGCGTTTCAGAGGAGGGATAGATGAAAACTGAGTTTTCCCTGCCTTTAAGGGTTTGTTTGATCCAAGCAAAACCCCCACCCAACTTGACAGTTGAGCTCTAGTTCAAAATGCTTTGTTTGGTGCAATGGTTTCACTTCAATGGCAGTCCAGCCTGGAGAAAGACTTGGTGCTCTTCTTGGACCTGGAATGATGCTACGCCATGCTTAGCCTTGCTGTGTTAGTCCTAAGGGTGAAACCCAAACTCAGTGGAGAGGAAATGAGTGCACAATGAATAAGAAAGTTCTTAAAAATAAAAGAAATGTTAATCTATGACAAGCAGTCCAGAAAAAGCAATTTAATTATGAAAATAAAATACAAAAGTAAAAAGTAAATAGCAATGGAGTGAAAATAAAATAAAGTTGACATAAAAAGCACTAGCTACAAATTGAATATATTTCCAACGAGCTACAGCCTAATGGAAAAGATCAAAATTTGACTTTTCACTTTGCCTCAGCACACCAGTGACATTTTTGACACAAGGGCACATTTGCCAGGCAGACATTTTGGTTCCCAGTGAATGCCTTTCCTGCCTCCTTTTTGTCCCCACCCTTGGGCAGGGCTTGAGAGCTGGGTTCATGTGTGACAGTGGCACGAGCCCTGCGTGGCTCTGCTGGGTTGTGTCAGCCACTGAGTGGCCACAAGGTCACTGGTGGACCTGCTGTGGTGTGATGCTTGGACGATGCGTGGGGTGACCTGAGTCACACCAGCTGAAAGCCCTGCTGTGGACACAGGAGGAGGCTGATACCAGCCCCTACTCTGGGGCGGGTGGAGGAGCCGCTGAGTAACGCTTCATTAAGCTGAGCACTCCTAAAACAAAGAATCATCATTAACTTTTTGCAACTTCCCAGTCCCTCCCACCAGCTCACTCCAGCTGGAGCTGTGCTGAGTCACGCAGGATGGAGGCTGAGCCCCGTCACAGGGCATGGCTTGACTCAGTGGTGGCATCACCTGAACCCCAGTTTGACTCTACTGAGCCACTGGAGGAAAGGAAACATTTCTCAATTTGCCCAGACTTGAACAGTGTATTTAATCAGGACACACCATCCAGGCACAGCCCGGTCCCTGCCCTTCCTTGAGTCACTGGGGTATATCATCAGCAACCTCCCAGAGCAGCCTGATCTGCTGGCCATGGGAGTGCCTGACCCAAAAACATCTCCATCACTATGTGTGAGCACCTCAGTGCAGGGACCAAGAGCCACTGCACCAAAGCTAGGCTCTGAGCAGGCAGGACCTGGAGACAGGCAAACTGGAGGTCATCAGGGCTGTCCCCAGAGTGAGCAGGGCCAGGGGACACTCCTCGTGCCCTGCTGCACAGGAAGGCAAGGTGACGTTCAGCACGGGCTGCCCCATCGCTTGGACTGTGGCAATAGGAGCACACAGCAAAGCACCACTGCTGAGCCAACCAACTCAGCCATGTGATTTTTCCCAAGAGCAAGTGTCAGCCCAAGTCACCTGCTTTCCCTTCAGGGCTGAGGAACCATCCTTGGGCTACATGGTCTGCAGTCTCCCCACTGCCTGTCTGTGCTGCCAGGCTCCCTCCCCAGTATGGTCACTGTCAATCCAGCCATGAGTTCCAGGCAGGCAAGGGCCCATCATCTTCATTTTGGACACTATCAAACACCAGTACCTTGATCTAGGTGCTGGAGAATGTTTCCAGCCACCAGGAGCTCTGGCCTCATTTCCAGTCTGAATTTAGACCTGGAAACCCATTATTTCCAGCCCACAATTTTCCCTGGGCACTCAGTCCCCTGGTTGGCGTGAGCAGCAGCTGCCTGTATGCGAACATTTGGGAAGGAGGAAGGGAAAGGTGGTCCGTGTGCTTTCTCCCATGTAAGGTTTTGGATGTCTGCTGCCATTGCAAGGGGGTTGTGGGAGCATCCCAGATGATTTGGCCATCACCACTCCCATGGATAAGCCCTGGTGACACTGAAGA